TAAAATATTTTTATAAAAAGTGATTACACCGATTATAGAATTACACGTTATTTTATTACTGTCTGCATACAGTATACAAAAACGTTTCATCGCATGATTAAATGCAATAATACAATAAAAACGGTTTTTCTATTTGCTGACTATTAAAATCTAAAAAAACGTCAAAAAATTTGGGGGTGCTATTTTAAAAACTGGGGGTGCTAAGCACACCCAAGCCCCCCCCCCAAATTGCGCCTATGGGTATATAACAATTTTATATTTTCACCGTAGTATCGTTACATCACGTCATAATGAAAATTGTACATCAGAACTTTGCTAAGTTCGAGTACTGTAAACCCGATGAAAATGGGCTTACAGAAATCGATTACTTTGCTATCTAGAGTGACCGCGGCGAAATTGTCGTTATAAATTTTACAATGTTTAAACGTCGGGCGGTTGATGAGCTTTCGTAGTCTGTCTGGTCGTGTTAGAAGATCAAGCTTTACACGACGTCTCATGTTTTCCATCGTTTTTCCTGGATATACAGGAATAAAATGATATTATGCTTAAAGTTTAAAGTTGAAGTGAAAGTTTTAAGTTGAAGTGAAAATAATCTAACGTACCAAACACGGAGTTGTTTAAATCTTTGAAGAATTGTTCTTCAAACTTATTGGTTGCACGTTTCCTCATCTCAGTGTTGAGCGCGATGTACGGAGCTAACCACGGAGATTGTCGGAATTCCAACACTCGATGTACCTGAATTGTGTGRTTAAGTTAAATAATAATAATAATAACTATAATTATAATAACCTTTTCGACTACTACGCCATGGGCCATGGCCTGTTTTAAATTCATATARTGAACGACGTAGCGTTCTTTTCGCTGAAATGTCACCATCAACTTTCGAACGGTTGATCCGTGTGGTATGCTGTCGTGGGATAAGAACGGCATATCGTTGTGGGCATCGTGCAGGTGTTGTGGATACGAGATGTCTACTTCGTAGATTCTGCCAAAATCGTCSGTCTCGCCCATCCACTCCAGCTGAGCCAGCGCGACTTCCGGATTCCCTGGRTACCATGCGAAATCGCTAATCGGCATGTATTTTCCCATTGCGAGACCATATAAATTATTAGCTATATACATAAAAACAACAATTAATATTCATACAATATATCGAATATATATATAATCACCATCCAGGTATACGAGCCAAGTGTCGGGTTCATCGTTTCGGTAYCCGGGCGTCTTGAAATTGTTAGCTTTGGCATAGCGTTTACTCGCCTGGACCAAGCCRCCACGCATTCCGCTCTCAAGAAACAAAACTTTCTCAAAGTCATTTAAAAGTTYAAGTTTYACCGAAGTGAACTTTAACATGCAGTCAAAGCTAAACCCGGGAGAGGTGTAATATTGTGCCGGATCCAGGTGAAACGTCGTCATGCAGAGCTCGCGGAAATTCTCAAACACATCAGCGCTGATCAGAACATCGATTTTTAGGTATAGGTCACTGTAATCGCCGAGGGTCCTGCAGTCGAAATGATCCCACACCCGAGTAGCGTGTTCATAATCCTCGTCACTGACGTGAGCCTCAGCCAACGCGCTATAGAAGTCGGGCTTAGGCGGTAGGGCCGTCTCGTTCAATTTGTCCCACGAATCGACATATTCGTTCGGGAACACTCCTTTCCGTGTGGTCAACGTCATCTCCACCGGGTTGAAAACTTTTGCAACTTCACGAAACTTGTSATAGTTTGCGGTCGTTAGGTTCTGGGCTAGGTGTGCTAAACTCGAAGTCATGAATCGACAAGTATCGATAAATCTTACGGAAAACGTATTATTCATATATTTCGAAAACGATATGAACTTTTCTTCACTATTAGCTGTCACCGAAATCGCTCTATTATTATAAGCCAAATGCGAGACGATAAAATGCGAATCATAATTCGAAAGATTGTGTAAAAAGCACGGTACAAATTTCAGTGTTTTCAATTTAAGATTACACGCGTTACACAATGTTTTTAAAAAACGACCCGATAAGTGGTCGTGATGCGCAGTTTTACAATTTTGTTCGGTGAAAATTTCCACGCACAAGTCGCACAACTTCTTGGCCGCGTGTAGGCGACAATCTCCGGTATTCATGATGATCGGCACGTTGATCGTCTTATACAAATTGTTTATTCTCTCGGCCACGTCAACGACGGACTGGATAAATCGGTCGGCCACATCATCTTCGGTCACCGAGCCGCGAAAAACGACGGGAGTCCTAGGAATTCCAAACTGCTCAAACAACTCTATTGGCACCCCTTCCGCTGCGACTACTAAGTACCCGTAGCTCATAGGATGGTGCGTGTGCATCGCCGTTGTATTAGCACCTTGTCGCTGAGACGTTTTCAGGAGTAGGGCTTCGAAGTCGGCGTAYACTACGAACGGTAGACGTTCCGTTTTACACCACGACTTGAACTTGAGCGTATCCCCCTCTTTGGGCATTAGAGGCAATACTGGTTTGTGTGCTACGTTATCTACATTCTTCCTAAAATACCACACTACCACGCGATTAAGCGAAGACTCGATCTCGATAAAACCGGGCGTATTGACCTTGTGCATGCGCGCCTTTTACGTTTAATATTTTTCTGAGTATTTTCGGTGAAAGGCACGCCTTCTTTGATCGACAGTGGCGAGTCCGGTCTTGCGTGCGCGGCGGTAACGGGAGATCTTGCATCGGGTCGGGTAGCGATAGCCTGTGCGGGGGGTTCGGTAGAGATGTCCGGTATGTGGGTGTATGATGAGGCCTGAGGAGGGGTATGTGTGTCCGTGTGCCGAAGCGAGATGACCGCCGGAGTCGATACATCTTGATGAGCATGCGGGGTAGTAGCGGGGGGTGCCCAGTTTATGACCGATGCGCGACCTAACATATATTATTAATATTATTATTATTATTATTATTAAGATAAATAAATTATTTACCCATTGCACCACCTACTCGTACAGTGTTGTGGAATTCGGGAGTGTTTTTAGCTATCACTATTTTAAAAATAATTTAATTAATAACCCCTAATTAGCAAAACGTTGTCGCCTGGTAAAACATCATATGTGTATTTTACGGAACGATATCGGATAATATTGAATGTACTTACTATGACGTTTTTGAACGTGGATGCTGAGTTTGTCTCGGYGAGTGAACGTCTTGAGGCATATCCCACACGAAATCACCGATCCATCGTGAGTTTTAGCGTGTCATTTCAGACCGCACTTATGAGCGTACACTTTTCCACACGTTGTAAAATTAAACATTTTAGAGAATGATATACAAACAACGTTTTAAAATAATAATAAAATKTAGGCGARAAGATGAATATACGCAAGGACGTGGAACGTGTTTAAACTCTACGGACAGACTGATCTATCAGGGCCGCTGTTATTTTTATTTAAGAACTAATCGACCACTAAGATTGACCAGCGCTCTTTGACATTATATAGGGGTATGTTTTTTATATATATATAATTTATACACGAAATATGCGCATCGTGCAACATGTGTTAGCAATGCTGGTGGCGGCGGTCTCATACCGCGTATCTGCGCGGTCAACAACAACGACGCGGCCGCACGGAGGTGGGTATCTGATAACTAAGAATAACTAGAGTTGGCGGTATGTGAAATTTGCCCACCGGTATTCGGTATGTGATTACATACCGGTTTTAAACGGTACACCGGTGTCCGGTATGTCAGTATGTATCGATAAATACCGGTCGCTTGAATATATTCAACTATGCGGTATCGTTTGGTAACTGTGGCGACCGTGATTATTTTACACAACACGATGACACGGACCGGGTGTAGTGTGAACAAAATTTCAATTTATTTAACATTATACATTCACAATCATTTAAAAAAAAAAAATAACATTTACCCATCAATTTGTATGTATTCCAAGTATAAATTTGGATCTCTGTAACGCAAATGAGACTTTAAATTGCTTGTATTTCCACCTTTACTATTTTTTTTCTCACCACATTCTAAGCGCAAAGACCTTCATTAGGATACTTTTCAAAGTAGTTCCAAATTTTTGATTTGGTCCTCATTTTGCTACAGTATTATATCGACTATATTATCATATAAACAAATTTAAATAAAATTTAAATAAAATTAGAAAATACATGCAGTTCATTGTATTAAATTAATTAAAAACAAATGCAAAGTATTAAACGAGCTACACACATAATAGTAAATAATAATAGTAATTACATTCTTACTATACAAAAACT